GGTGAGTCCAGGTTCTCTGTCCTAGCTGTGCTCTCCCTGCCCTGTTTCTTTTGTATCCCTTCTCGCTGGCAGCACTTGAGACAACAGAAAAATGTCCTTGACTTAGGGTAAACACGACATAGCAGAAAAACAACATCAGTGTGTTACCAACACCGCTCAGATTCTGAATCCAAAACACAGCACTGCAACAGCTACCAAGAAGAAATAAACTCAGAAATGAGCACAGCTGAAAATCAGGACACGGGGGACTGGCATGGCACATGCTGCTGGGGGCAGCTGCAGCTGGTGGGCGAAGAGCCGAGTTGACTCCCTGAAACACCTTTTTGTGGGCAGCGTGAGGGAGCACCAGCAGCTGCAGGCAGTTCTGTGGCTGCAGCAACCACACAGCTGCAGGGACAGCGAAATCATCCCTCCCTACTGCCACAGGAGGGGCCCAGGGCACCCAGCTCGGGTGCAGACACAGCTGTAGGTAGAGCAGCTGAACTTCAGCCCTTGAACCAGACTAGCAACAGTGGGGGGTTATTAGCTGAGGACAGGAGTACCCAGCTTTACATGGCCATTTTTCAACCACTCTGTTAGAAATAATTTGGGAAGCTGATCTTTAAAAAACTTTCTCAACGTCTATGTTCATGGACATTCCCTATTAAAAAAAACCAAAACAGCTGGACTGCTTTGTGCCAGCAACATCTGCACCTCGCTGAGAATAGGAAAAAAGAGGTTTGCTCTCCGAAATGCCAGCAGTGCTTCCCTCCTGCTGCTGGTTACAGATGGGGAGGTGAATCCCAGCTGTTAGCTCCCAGGTTAAAGTGTGGGCTGCAGAGAAACAATGGTTCAGCATTTTATCAGTGTCCAGCTGCTACCACATTGGCAATACTGCCATCACACAACCAAAATGTTCTTAAAAAGGTCTTCAAAGGTCTTTGGATCCCTTCTGCCTGAGGTGGAAGGTGATGAATGCAGCTCTAGTGGATTAAAATGCCCAGCAGCCATGTGCATCCTCAACATCCCACCCACTCCTGCAGAACACACTGGCAGGGTTGCCAGCATTTGCTGGCACCCAAAAAAAGCTCCCTCAAGCCACCAGCCCTGGCCACAGGCACTTGGCTGTGATCTTTGCACAACAGCTTCCAGCTGCAGCTTCAACCAAAAGACAGCAAGACACAGGGACTGCAAACCAGCAATATTGTGCTCTTGTGAATGGATTTCGTACTGTTTAGGGCAAAAACTTCCAGGCTTGGCTAAGGTTTTTTCCTCCTATGAAGACATTTATCCCTGAGCTAATGAACGTGGTGTTTAACTGCTGCTCTCCCACTGCCAGCTACAGTGACAAAGATTTCCTGGTCCAGAGCAAAGCATCTCAGCTTACAATGGCAGCGACACCCCAGAGAAATGGCTACAGACCTAAAGCACAGATGGAGGTTCACAGGAGCAGAGAGGCATCCTGTCTGCTCCAAGTGAGCAGCAGAGTATGAGGAAGCAGAAGTATCTTGATGTGGATACTATTGCTTTTTAATGAAAGCATCCTCCCTGAACCACTGCCCACTGCCAGGATTGAAGTGGGCTGACCTGTGCCAGCTCAACAGCCAGAGACTTGTCTAGGGAAGTAAGCAAATTGCAGTTTTTCCATTTTTTTCCAAATTAAAATAAAAATTTAAAAATCAGTCTTATTTTATTTGGTAATAACCATGTCCTGTGCTTATTGTAACTGCCTTCTGGCTGTGAGCTAAACTCAGTTAAAAAATAAATTCACAAAAAAAGCCCCCAACACCAATCAGATCCAACTGTGTTTCCTACACACTTTCATTTAGAATCTTCCTTTTGCAGGTTCTCCCTCCTTGTGCCAAAGCTGAGGGCTGCACAAGGCTCAAAGACCGTCACCCACTTGGGCTCTGGCATCCACCCCCAGCTCAGTGGGCAAAGCTGGGCACCCCAGAGGGGCAGTGGGGACACCAGTGCCTCTCCCAGAACACCAGATGTTCCCTGCACTGCATGAACACCCCCGGGTCTGCACCCTTTCTCCTCAAAGCAGGTGGCCAGGCAGCAAAATGGACATTAACATAAGTCACTGGGGCATGGAAAGTGTTTGGGGTTTTTTGCTTGCTTCCAGAGGGCAAAAATGGAGTAAATTTGTAGGTGGGGTAGCAAAACTGTAAGACAATAAGCAGACATTGAGGGCAAAAAGTCAAGGAGACCATGGGACATGTGCGGAGCAAAACAGCTGCTTCCTTCAGCCCCAAGGCATCACTCCTTTAACCACAGAAGCATGAAACTAGAAAGGCAGGTTTTTATCTTGTAAACAAATCAACCTTCTCCTGTCAGCATCCAGCTCAGTGGGTGCAGGAGTGGGCTCCTGGCCCCACAGAGCCTGAGACCCCAGCCAGCATAAGGGAGGTTTGTACCCAGCTGCTTAACCTGCTCCATGGGGCTCAGGGAAAATGCAATTTGGATCCTTCCCAAATCCACTGAAGGTATCTTTCCAGGAATGCGAGATGCAAGCCTGATAAGCACATTTTAAAACAAGACTGGGCTAAGTGTTAAAGCTGTCCTTCAGTTCTGGCTGTATTTTAAGCAGCACCAGGCTAATTTGTTATCATGGGGGATTTTATCAATTTAATAACTCCAAAGCTGTTGTCTGAAGTATGAAGACTTTCCTTTCCAAACCACTTCAGCTTTTCAGCCCAGAAAAGAAACAGCTGCTTGAGATGAAGATGGGTCAGAAGAAGAGGAATTACGCTATGAGGAAATACGCAGACTTCCTTCCCAACGCAGAGCTGCGTCATGGACTGTGGACAAGCGCATTTACCAGCACGGGCCTCCCCTTCACAGCGTGCAGTGATTCCCACCTCTCCCTCACCCTGACTGCACAGCAGGCAGCTACCACAGCAGTGCAGCTGCAACAACTTGGCACTGCCGCAGTCCTTCCCTGCCACACCCTCCCTGGTGCATCTGACAGACGTGATGCTGCAGAGCAGCAAGGCTTATCCTCTTCCCTGAGAAACTGAAGGCAGCAGGGCATTTTTGGGAAGTGCAGCTCACTGAAGACACAAACAAAATCCTACATCTCCAGAGCCTTTGAACTGACACTTCCTTACAGCAGGCTGAAAGGAGCCTTCCCACCAGAGGCTGTGCCGTGCAGAAAAGCACACCTGCTTGGAGCACAGAACTCCCTAGTTAGGAATGTTTGCACACAGCAATTAAATACCCCAATGAGCCTGGAGTACAGACAGGATGACACACAATTTACCATTCAACCAAGCAGCAAGGCTGTGTTCATCGTGCTTTGAAGCACCTGCTTTTCAAAGCAGCTCCCCATCTATACACAGGTGCCACGTGGCAATTTGCTCCAGGCTGGTGCCCAGGGCTCCCAGCCTTGGCAGGACCAGGCAGCGGGGGGAGGAGTCATTTCCACTCCCACATATCAGCTCCAGAATTTTAAACATTGAGTCACAGGAAGTGGGAACCAGGGCTGTGAGGGGCAGCACAGGCATACCAGCACTGCCCTGCCCACACCAACTTCACTCAACTGAGGACTGCTTCCTCTCCCTCTCTTTTAATGCTGCCATTTTTAATGAAGAACATCAGGAAAGGGAAGATAACATCCTCACCTGGCCCCATTAAACACATCCTCTGCAAGATAAGCACAAGCTGCCTCAGTGACTTTATCTAGGCTTTGAAATTGCCTCCCAACCTCAATGGATGAAGCAAGCTACACCAAAATTGTACCTCATCCAGCACAGCTGACCCAAAATCCTTTATTGAACAAGCTTAAAAAACCAAAAAATTAAAAAAAACCCCTCTTATATATATATAAGTTCCCACAGAACTATAATAGGGTGTATTTAACCAGACAGGAGCCTGGCAGATAACTAGGACAGGCTCCACTCCCTCCTCCAGTCTCTCACTCCTCCCAGCCTTCTGCCACATCTATCTCACCCCTGCAGAACCCCCCACCACCTCCACCCTCCAGCACCAGGGGCCAAAAATTCACACAAGACAGCAAAGATGTTAAAACTCCAAAGGAGATAAACAGTTAGCAACTGGGCCGTGCCCTCCCCTTTCAGGCACCTTAACCTCCTATGCCTCTGCCATCACTGCAGCAGGAAAAAAGTTAATGATTAGCAGTCCAAGGCAACATCCCTGGTCAGGAACAGCAGCAACAGACATCCCCTTGCTCCAGGTGGGGCTCTGAAGGAATTTGTGTTCCTTCATTCAATCCAAACTGTCACTGGATCAGACAGGCAGAAAGCGCAAGGAACCCGTTACTGTTGCATCTCAAAAGAACCTGAGAAGCAACAGTGTTTGCTCCAGGTCTGTCAAACAGATGCAGTCCCTAACAAGAAATACCGCAGGAACCTAAGTTACAAAGACTCGGGTAAGTCCCAAGTACAAGCATTCACCTGGTTTGGAGGAAGTCTAGGGCAGGGCTAGGCCATTCCAACATCACTCTCCAAGGGGGCAAGTACAGAAAAAGCCAAAGTCCTGCAACTTGACTGAATTCTAGTTCGTATCTAGTCTCCCCCAACAGCTGTCAAATACCAAGTACCACAGCCAAGCTATGTCAGAAAACTGAGCCATTTCACCTTCTCTCCCCAGTATTCCCATTCAGCCTCCTGCCTTGATCTTGGAGACATACTATAGCTCAGGAGAGGCACAAGTACTCTTGTCTGACAAAGCAGCACAGCCAGCACTCAGCTTGAATAGCACATATTCCATTCCGGGTTGTTTTTATTATTAATTTATCTCTGGAAGAGGTAAGTCTCTGCACAATCACAAAAGATGAAGGTGGTCCACTCCATTATGACATTTCTTGGACTTTGCCTTATTGACCTCAACTTGCTTTTGCACTCCAGTGCTACAGGCAAACTGTGAAATCTGTCTGGAAACAGTCCAGTTGTAGTGCTCTAGCACCAGCTGTGCTACTGACAGCATCCAATCCATGGTGCAACCTCTCCTTCAAGTCACCTTGAGAGACACATCAGACCAAAAGACATCAGCTAGAATGGGTTTAAATGAGTTTTATTTTAGACAACCTACATGATAGATGTTTTTTCGTTTTTTTTAAACAATGCCTCCACTCCAAATCAGGGTCAAAATAAGTGAATAAAGCTCAAGATGACATCAGTCCAGTTAGACATTGCTGATTCCTGGTGTTGTGCCGATGAAGAAGAAACAGCAGCCAGCTATGAAGACAAGTGATCCAAAACCATACTGTTTGATTTGTTACTGAAACAAGAGTAGCAAGTGTTAGTTAAAGGTCATGACAGCATCAGCAAGTTTCTATAACTTGTTTGTGTATTCCCTAATTCAATCTGGGCTGCCACAGTCAGGCAGGCAGAAAGCGCAAGGAAGTTATTTTTGCATCTTAGTGCAAACCAGGGAGCAACAGGAAAAGTGCTCGTGGTCTATCAGAGGATGCTGATCATTTTTACAATTGTACAGAGCAACTGGCACCCACCAGCTGCTGAGCAAACCAGGCTGAACACGCTTTCACATCCTTCCTGCTTGACACACCAAGGTTCAGATTTCCTATCAAGCACATCCTAAAGAAGTACCAGAGCTTACAATGTACCTGGCTGTCTCTGAAAACAGCTGCACCAAGAAGCTGAAGCAGGTTTTAGTGCACATGGAAACACCTTGCTACTGTTCTTCTACTCCACCTTGAAGTAGGTGGAGTTATCCAAACAACACATCTAAAAGGCGTGCCCCCATAGAGGGATGTCTCCCCACAGAGGAGATGAACAGAAGCTTCTGCTCCCAGGAGGTGCCTTCCAGGTGACCACCTGTTCCAGGGCCAGAACAGACACCACCCCTTCCATCAGACTGCGGGAGGTGCTGTGTCTGTGGCCAACTGAAGTATTCCCTTCATTGGGCTACTGCTCCACACCAGAATGTGGCTCATCTTTACATGACTTGCATACCAGAAAGCCTGTGAGAGGCTTTAGATAAATTTAGCTGTCTATATACAGACTTCACAAGTCCACAATGGGCAAAGCAACTGTTGATCCCACATTGCAGTGAATTCCACAGGTCTCCAAGCAAGCCAAAAACCCACAAGTGTTGAGATCCAAATACTGTCTTGTGGTAACCACATTCCAATAGAGTAGATAAAGCAGACCACAGGAGCTCAGGTAGTTGGAAATTCCAGAGAGAAAAAGCTTAAGTACCTGGTCAAGTAATACTGTGTTCCCAAATTCAGGGCAATATTTAAACTGACAGTTCTTGTATAAGGGCATCAGATTAAATGAAAAAACATGGAACATGACCACACAAGGTACTTCACAATTAACCTCCACAAAAGGGATCCAAAATTGAAGTGCTCCATTTCAGAGGACCTGCTCTTTAATCTAATGGTTTAAACCCATTCCCAATTACACACTTTTCACCAGGGCCATCCCTTCTGCATTTCTTGGCCATTAAGTCACCATGAATCACAGCAGTGATACTACTACATCCCTTTTTAGCACAACTGAACAGTACTCAAAGTTTCAGGCACTTTGTATACAAAAGCACCAATCGGGCTGTACTTACACAATACTTAAGTTTTCAAACTGGCAGCTACTATTCAACTTCAACAGGGGTACAGGAAAACAAGACAGGAAGGAGCTCACCATGTACTTGGGCACATTAACCCAGTTCAGTACTTACACATTTCTCAATTTCTAAGCCGTCCTTAAAGAAAATCATATATGGGGTCACACCGTCCTCACGGAAATCCAGGAGAGCCACCATTCCATCTGGATTCATGTTCTCCCCTACAAAGAACTTCAGAGGAATGTGTCTCTAAGACATTTAATTGGCTAATGCCAGGAGAGAATGTCTTTTTATACAATACCTTTGTATAAACAATGCAACACCACCAAGCTCAGTTTAAGTCTCCCTGACCAGCCACAGGGATTTTCCTTCTCTGCAGCTTGTCCATCCTAGTGCCACCATGGCTGACACACGAGAAGAAAGGGATGCCATCCAGAGGGACCCTGACAGGCTGGAGAGGTGGGTCCATGGGAACCTTGTGAAGTTCAACAGGCCAAGTGCAATGCCCTATACCCGGGTCAGGGCAACCCCAAGCACAGATATACGCGGGGCTTGGGAACAGATTGACAGCAGCTCTCAGCAGAAAGACTTGGGGAGTTGGATGACAAATAAGTCCTTGCAACCCAGCACTGTGAACTTGCAGCTCAGAAACCCAAACATCAAAAGAGGAGTGACCAGCAGGTCAAGGGACATGACTTTATTCCTCTGCTCTGCTGAGACCTCACCTGGAGAGGGGATCCCAACACAAGAAGGATATGGACCTGCTGGACCAAGCCCAGGTAGGCCACTGAGATGGTCAGAGGCCTGGAGCACCTCTCCTATGAGGAGAGGAAATTGGGGCTGTTCACCCCCAGAGGCTCCAGGGAGACCTTACAGCATCCAGTATGTAAAGGGGGCTACAAAAAGTCTGGAGAGGGACTTTGACAGGGGCACATTGCAATAGGACAACAGGGAATGACTTTGAAACTCCAAAGAGGACAGATTTAGATTACATATTAGGAAGACATTATTTACTGTGGTGCTGATGAGACACTGGCACAGGGAAGCTGTGGATGCCCCATCTCTGGAAGTGTTTGAAGCCAGGCTGGATGGGGCTCTGAGCAACCGGGTCTAGTGGAAGGTGTCCCTGCCCACGGCAGGGAATTGGAACTGATGACGCTTTTCAACCCAAAGCCTTCTGTGATTCAATAATTTTGCCATGCTGCTATGAACAGAGCAAGAGACAGCAAGGGCCAAAGTGATCAAAGACTAACTGCACAGTCCCTGAATCACCATAACAACAAGTGTAGGTAACTACAAGCATTACCAGCTGGAATGATCTAACAGTCTTTGGCTGTTTCTCATCCCTGACTCTCAGGCCCCTAATGCTCTCAGAGATGGTCAGGTTATAGCAGCCTCACAACAGGATTCCTCAAAATTCTCAACAAGCCGTTCAGCAGATGAACCAATCAAAGCTTATCAATACTGCTGTAAGGAGACATAACTTACCTGGTAGTTTTTGAAGTTGGCAAGGATGTGTTTGATTTGTTCTGCAGCCCCAGTCATGAAAGGCTTTACTCTCTCTGGCTTGTGTTCCTCAAGTCTGGCTTTGATTCTGGAAGGAGAAAGAAAAAATGCTCTGAAAACATGTTCCACCTTAGTACCTTCACTGTCTGGCAGGATGTCATAGCAGAAAGAGTCCACCCAGCTACCTGTCAAACTTAGATTTTGCTGCCTTTCCACCCACTTCCTCTCAAAGACCCCAAATTTTAATTTACTTTTTCAAGTGAAATCACAGAACAGTACCTGCCACTCCTACCAAGGTCATTTTACAACCAGGCTAGTAACAGGCAAAAATCAGCAAGCTCTTTCAACAGCACCAGGAGTGTCACCCACCATGTCACAAAGCTTTTTCACTTTCAATATTAACCCCACTGAACATCAAACAACAGCTATTACACCATGAACTAGCAAAAAGACGCATTCATCCACTTTTTTTAGCTGTTTACATTGTCACTCTAGAACAGCATCAGAAGTTTTTCTTTACCACTTCAGTCCCTTCCACATGAAGGTCTGGTATGAAGAAATAGAAAACAGTAAGGCTACAAATAAGATCCAAAGCACATGATCAGGTCCTCTACCTCAGCCAAAATAAACATAGATATTCCATCCCCCATTCTTTAGAGCTCCAGTTCTGCCAAGCATTAAGACATTACTGAAGTTCACAGCCAGTTTTACACCTGTTTCAGAATGAACACCTAACAGGAATAAATCCAATGCTGTTTTTACAATCTCAAGCACACAAAACCACTGCAATCCAACTGAAAGGAAAAGCCTACCAACACTTACGCTTTCATGTAATCCTTGATGTACTTCTTGTAGGATTCTTTTGTGAAGCTGGTCTCCTGAAGGTGGTGGTTAATTACTATGTCAACACCAGTTATGACCGTGGCTTCTGTTCCATCTCCCTCAGGACCTTCAGCAGAGGCATTGCCACCAATTAGAGAGTCATCAATTTGACCCTCTGTCCTGGTGACCATCTAGATTTAGAGACATCAAAAAACTTAACGGCTCTGCAAAAAACCTTAGTGCTACCGCTCTTACACACCTATGACCTGACAGCAGGGCACAACTCGAGAGATACACTTCAGTGCAAGGAACCTGGCTGCAGCTGGAGCACTAATTTCCCAGTGACAGGAAAAGGGGGAATGGATTCAAATTGAAACACAGTAGGTTTAGATTACATATTAAGAAGGAACTCTTTACGTGGGAGGCACTGGCAAAGGTTGCCCAGAGAAGCTGTGGACACCTCATCTCTGGAAGTGCTCAAGGCCAGGCTGGATGGGTCTTTGAGCAACCTGGTCTAGTGGAAAGTGTCGCTGCCCACAGCAAGGAGGTTAGAACTAGATGATCTTCAAGGTCCATTCCAACCCAAAGCATTCTGTGGTTCTATGACTCCCAAGCACGACTCGCCCACGGTGCATAACCGAAGCTCCATTACACTCCAGCCTGGCTGACCTGGGCTCTCTCAGGCTCCATCTACGGCAGCACGGGGCACTGGGCCAAGGTGAGTCTTCCCTTCTCTCTTTCCCGGCTCGGGCCCTTCGCAGGGACGCCACCCCCACTCCCCACCGGCCGTGAGTCACCGCGGCAACCCTTCCTCCCTCCCTGCTTCGGGGCGGGCGGGCACTCACCTTCCCCTCCACTTCCAGGCACAGGCCGTCCGCCACCTCCCGGATCTTGTAGATGTCCGAGAACATCTCATCCTCTGCGGGGGACAGACAAGCACACACACACACCCAGCCGGTCAGCCTCCGCCTCCCGGCACCCACCACTTTCCCCCATCGCTCCCGCCCCCGGGCTCCGCGCCCCCCCCGCCCGGCCCAGCCCCGCACATGCGCGGCGGCACCGCCGGGCCCAGCGCTCGGGCCCGGGCCGCGCTTCCCCCCCCGCTCCGACTGCCAGCCCGGCCGTCCCTCCCGGCCGCGCCCCCCCACCCCGCGGCCTTACGGCTGATGCAGTCCCGGTAGATGATCATGGCGGCAGCGGGGGGCGGCGGGGGCGCGGGGTCTCAGCGCAGCGACCCGGGCGCGGGGCGGGAGCGGGGCGGAAAGGGCCGAGTCAGCGCCGGCCGGGGCTCATATAGCGGGCACGGCCCCGCGCGTCACCGCGCACGCGCACTGCGCGCCGCCCCGCCCCTCCGCCAGCGGCTCCCTCGCGCGGCCGCGTCCGGAACCGCCGCGCGAGGGGGGCGCGAGCTCGGGGCTCCCGCAGCGCCTCAGGGAGCGGCCAGCGCGCGGGGGCCGCCCCTCCGTCTCCTCCGGGATCAACACACCAAGAGACCTCACACGGCTTCCCCTCAAGGCCCTTCGCCATCGTCGTTGCCCTCCTTTGGACGCTCTAACAGCTCCATGTCTTCCTTGCATTGTGGCGCCCAGAACTGCCCCCTCACCTCGAGGAGAGGCAGCCCCAGCTCAGAGCAGAGCGGGAATCCCTTCCCTGTCCCGGCTGGTGATGCTGTGCCTGATACACTCCAGGACAGGGTTGGCCCTCCTGGCTGCCAGGGCACTGCTCGGATTCAGTTTGCAAAACGGAGAGTAGGATTTCATCCTTCCCGAGGCAGAGGGAAGGGACCTCTGGAGAGCAAGCAGTCCTGCCGTGCGCCAGAGCAGGGCTGGTGCCTCTCCCTCATTGCCTGTGCTTGCATTGTTTGGTTTCAACACCAATTTTCCTCTTTCCCCTAATCTTTTAAGCTCTCAGTAACATTTTTCTTTTTGTCTAACTTCTTATGAGGTGTCTGGGATGTGTGATCACTGGCTCTTTTCTCATTACTCAGAGTCACCGAGCTGGGATGATCACATTTTCACTTTCTTTTTGCTGCAAAATGGTACAGCTTTGGGGCACATCTATCCATCTTTTGTTGGTTTTTTTTTTTGTTTTGTTTTGTTTTGGTTTTGTTTTTAATGTATATCCACTCTCTTTTCCTTGTGTTGTATTAGGAAGCATCTTTGCACCCACGTTTTCCAGACTAGCCTCCAGTTTAACACAGGCAGCCTGGTAAATCCACACACTGACTTTCCAAGGAGAAGTGTGCCCAGCTTTTCCCAAGCATCCCGGGGAAGCACTGCTGCCCGTGTCCCACCACAGCCAGGGTGCCCCCTCCATGGGCAGTCTGACGGGTGTGTCTGTGTGAGCTGTCCTGGCCACTTCCAGCTGCTGCCTCCTCACCGTGATGCCCACTTCCAGCTGCTGAGGGACTGTGGACCTTGCAAGGGCTGTGACACAGGGACACAGAAAGTCATTCGCCCTGCTGGGTGTACATGGACATACATTTGCTCTCCCTGGTGCTGGACCTCCTCCAAATAAGTGATGTTTTCAAAACATTTATAGGGAAATAATTAGGAAGCTGTTGGACTCTTCCTGTTATTACTCCCTCAGGGAAATTGAGTTGGGTATGTTCAGGGGCACTGCTTATGCACTCACGAAAGTGCTGGCTGGGGCAGGTATATTTTTCTTATTTTTCTAAGGATAAGTGAGATTTAGCCCAGTAGTCAAGGTCGAGATGAAAGATGGAAGAGCAGTTATGCCTAGACCTCTTTTTCCCCCTTTGGACATACTTTTCTGCAGCAGCCTGTCACACCTGAAAGAAATCTAGACCTCACTTGAACTGTGATTCTTAAGAGACATTGATAAAATACCTTCAAAAGACATCATGGGACCTGAAGCGCTTAATGCTGCTAATGATCCTGGACTTGGCAGAGACATCAGGGCACAGGACACAATTCCCTGTCCCTCACCTTCCTTAGGCAGTGAATTGCTCATTGCTTTCTTTGTGTGTGCCAGTGGAGCTCCCTTTTTATCTCCTCCTTCCCTGCTCTTCCTTCCTTTGCTCCAGATATCAGTGCCCTTTTTTTTTTTTTTTTTTTTTAAGATGGTCTAGCTTCTCACATAATCTAATTAAATTTATAAGTCGTTCTCTGCTGGTTTTCACCTTCAAGACTGCTGCTATTTCAGGCCTGAAGAAGGGGCTTCTTCCCAAAAGCTTTTCCTGTTTCTTTTTCAATGGCAGCTGGCCTGATAAAAGATAGCCCCTCTTTTTACAAACCACAGTAAAAAAAGAGCAACTTACATCTTTAGCAGTGTGTTGAGTGACAGGGGAACATTTGGCTCCTTCTATGTAGTGTAATATGCAGCTAAAAACATCCAGTTAGTAGGTGTGCTTCAATTTGGTTTTACTTTCAAGACTGTTCTAGAAAAATGGATATTTCTGAGTAGTCCAGAAACTTCTTACAAATTCATCAGTTGACTCAACTTGCTGGAGTCAGGGTAGAAAGCCTTTAGCACAGTGTGAAGGTAGATGGACCTTCAGGTTGCTTTGCCTTGCCTGTAGGTCTGTGTTAAGAGTTGCAGGTGTAAAATGTGAGACGTCATTTAAAAATGAATCTGTTAAATGGGTCAAGGCTCCTGTGTGAATGCCAGTTTGATGTGGAGTTAAGTTAAATCAGTATCAAGCTGAAGTTAGCAGTGTTTTAATTGGCATAGGCTTCACTGAGGTACCAGTGCTGAAATTTTCCTGTGATCCCATATTAACACAGAATTATCTTATGTGCTGATACTTTGTGAAATACATTTGAAAATGCTTCCCCCCGCCCCCCCCCTTTTTTTTCAGAAACCAGTGACATTTGAGAAAACCTTAGTGTTCCTCACCTGCTTTCTGTCCAGGCAGCCTCTCCAAGCACTTCTCACATCCAGCCAGAGCTGGATTCACATTTCAGTGAATCCACTGTATCCCTCCCTCCACCTTTTTAGTTGCCGATTGACAACCAAAATGATGAGAGAAGCTTTCCTGATAGTGCACCTCACCTTTGGTGTTGTGTAAGTCCCGAAGGATTGATGGAATCCTGTGGGTTTATAGAGGAGTCTTCTAACAGCATCTGAGGAGGATTTTCTAGGCAGCTGTCTGCAGAGTTTCACAGGAAGCCTTTCTCATGGAAAGCCACACCTCAGACAGTTGTGAATTACTGCAGTATTGCTTCCATCAAGTATTAGCGTCTAGATATGGCTGTGCTCAACTAATTGTGTATTGGATTAAAGTGCCAGATGACAGATGATACTACACCATTCTGTCCCTAAATAAACAGCACATTTTCAGCCCATTGTGGCAACTCCCACTGAGCTGTAAGAAAAGGGAGGGGATCCTGCCTTCAGCTGTTTCCTGCAGGGTGCAATCAGTGGAAATAAAGCGGAGGTGAGTCTGGAGAAAGAGAGGTGATACTGGGCTATGACATAAGGGATGGCACCAGTCTAACCTTTCTAAAAGGCTGTGGAAGTCACATAAGAGTGGTGATGTTTTACATAATTTGCTGGGTGTGGGGGAGAGGACCCTAAGTATATATCTGATGATAGAAAGAAACTGGAAAAATGAGGATTAAAGGGCTGAGCAATCCCTGGTGTTGCAGAGAGGCTGGCAGGACAGTCTGTGCCCAGTGTCCCCTTCCCCAGTGCATCTCCCAGCACAAAGGCTTTGGGGGAGGATGGACGTGATCAGCTCATATCTTCACAAATCTGTCTGGAATGTAGGACTGTATCAAAGAGCTGTGACTTTGTAGACCCTGTTTCAACACACACAGATGGAAACTGCAGCTTTTAACTGGTTTCCTTCAAGTCCTTTCCCCGGAGCATTTCCAGCCAATAAAGATTTGATCACTATTTGTTACCCCTTCTTATTAATTGGGAATTGATCTTACAAAGCCAGAGCATCAGTTTGATTCTTTCAGGTGAGTTTATGTTATGAATATTGTCAGTCTTCCAGTGCTTGGCAATCCTTTGACTGTTTTGGATCTCGAGCCAAAATTCATAATTTAGATTTACATTGGCAGTGTACTAAGCCAGAATCCCAGATTCCAAGATTAATATTTGAAAGAGTTGAGCTTTGATCTTTAGTATAGTTTATCAGCTCAGATCTATTCACAAATGATAGACCATATTAGACTGGACTAGATAGGTTAAGATATCCCAGACAAAGACATCACTTTTTAGAATGCAAGGAAGGTCTTCGGTTGAGCAACAACCCCTCTTGCACTCAGAACAATTGCAGGTGTTCTTACCTGGGCATTTTCAGTACTTACTGTTCCTCTCGCTGGCTGCTGCACTTCTGCGAACACACGCAGAGGTCACTGCACAGCCACAAACCCTTTTATCTGCGGCACTGCTTGCACCAGGCCAGCTCACCCAGACCCTGCCCTGGGCCAGGGCTGTGAGGCTGTCAGCCGGCACTGCAACTGCTGCGTTTTTAGGAAAAACAGGACTGCGATTCCCAAGTTAAGAACTATGAAGCAAGATGCTGCCCACCTGCAATTTTATATTTACTGACTGTATAAACATCCAGGTGACTGAAAGGGCTGTGGTGGAAATGCCTGCACCTGATCCTCTGGTCTGCTGCCAGTGTGTCCCACTGGTGTGCTCAGTGATGGAATAGAGAGTGCATTCATTAAAGTGACAGTAACGTTACAATGGGAAGAACCACAAGTGTATTGGAGATTAAGATTGGAATTAAAAAGTGATTTTGACACATTGGACAAGTGGCCTGAATTGTTAGAAGGCATTTGGACAAGGCCAGCCCATCCATGAGCAGTCAAACATTTGCTAAAAGGAAAATCTGCCAAAGGCTTTTGAACACAAAGATGCAGCATAACGTCCAAAAAACTCTGAGCCACACATTACTAGAAACTGAAAGAGTGCATAGGGGAAGTGCTGCCTTATCCTGGCCCTGGTCCTCTGCTCTGTTGTAGGCTTTTGCTGCTGGCAAATTCCAGGGAATGCTGAGATGATGATGTGCTCTATATGGGTGCTCTGATGTCATGCTTGCAAGTCCAGAGCAGAAATGATCAGCCATGGACACAGGACAGAGAAGGGGGCAGCAGTTCTATGGAAAAGATCTGGGATACTGGTGGATCCAAAGCTGAAACAGAATCATAGAGTCATAGAAACAATTAATTTGAAAAAGTCCTCTGAGATCATTGAGTCCAATCATTAACCCAGCGCTATCAAGTCCACCACTAATCCATGTCCCTCAGTGCTACCTCTGCTTGTCTTTTAAATACTTCCAGGGATGGTGAATCAACTACATCCCTGGGCAGCCTGTTCTGATGCTTGATCAGTGGAAAAAAAAAAAAATCCTAA